AGCTTCACTTCTTATGAATGTAAAAGGGGTTTTGGATGAACGAAAAGGATCTCTCTGTATAAGATTCCGATGGAGTAAAATTCCCAAATCTGGACGGAGAGAAGTGAAATAATGGAAACTAGAAGTGCTTTATCATTAATCACTCGAGTTTCATGGGTTTGTTAGTATGATCGGACATTTGATCACATATCAGTGTTTGAAACCTCCTGTAGGTCAGAGTTCCATATTGAAGTTAGATTGTACTGAGATGGGCAATGGCACATAATCTTTTTCTAGGAGAATGAATGCAACTAGAATCCTGTTGGACCAAAAAAAGAGAGAGAGAGAGAGGGAAAATGGTAGGTACATAAGCGAAGACAACTAGCTTTTATTTGATAAGAATCGGAAGAAAGTAAAACTAAAGCAAAATCATAAAGGCCTATGCTAAAAGTTACAATATTATACCATTAAAAAAATGTTGGAGGTCTTTTGGGTGCTAAACAATGAAATAGTTAAATTTAATGACTTGGTCACGTACAGATTAGTTGTTGAGAATGGTATAGGCAAAGTACTCTAAAGAAGAGGAGTGAGTGAAGATAAATAGTTTAGACAGATAAATATGATATTTGAGGCAAAACTTAATCTTACTTTGCCCAAAAGGAAGATTAGTAGAAGGTGAGCCAAAATCTCACATTTGGCAGAAGGAGTTGGTAAAGGAGAAGATTATGACCCTCCAAACAAGGAAAGAATTCAAGAGAAAATTGGAATTGTTATTGATACCATCAAGGACAATGGTATCCTATTCTAGGCTTTTGCAATGAAGGTAGTATTAAGATTTCAATTTCTAAAGAGTAATTATCTATCCAGTCTACACACATTGGTTTTTCTGGTATATTTTTTTTTTACCAATGTAATGAGAATTTGTTTAAATTACAAGTGATGTTATTGAACTTTTATAAAACGTGTCTATAGATTCTCGATCTTTTAATTGTTTAATAGGTTCACGTATTCACATTTTTTTATACCAAAAATATTATTATACAAAAAGTTGAATTTTGTGTTCAATAGATCATCCATTTTCAATTTAAACATTAAAAAACATATTAGATGCAGAACTAAGATTTAGAAACAAGTTAGAGCTCTTACAACCTCCGCTGCAATGATCAATTTCTCCCCTTCCTCGTCTACAGGCAAATCCTTTTCTTTGAAAATGTGTAAAGAAGCTGCCAAAAAGTGGCTGAAGTTATATCTAGCTTTAACATTAGCGAAGGGGATGGGGTGGTGCGATGCATGGAATGAGACACTGTTAATAAAAGATAAATGGAAGCAAGGCTTGCCTTTATTATTTAAATCAACGGATACAATCTCAATATGAAAAATTTAGAGACATAGACCTTTTGTAAGATGCACACGACAAAACTTAGTAATAAAGTACGATAACAATAATAAGAATATGGTTAACTCCTTTGTATAGAATAGAACCTAAACATCCAACTCTGATGCAGCCTGCAAAATCAATACCTACCAATAGCATAAGGAAAGAAATTAGAAACACGGAGTTGAATGAAGCTAGCCAAATGTTAACATTGGGAAAACTTGAAATGATGAAAAAGTTGATAGTTTGTGACAAACCATTTCCACTTTGGGTTATTAGACAAAACTAGTCGATAAACACATAATAAAATTTTTCAGAAAAGGAGATATCAAAGGAGATATCAACGCAGAACTACCGGGCAGTTCATCTTCAGTGAACCTGCAAAAGGCAAACCACAGCAACATCAGTACCAGTAATGAGGAATGGTAAGCCAGAATGCATAATGCATAATAACAATGTAGCAAAAGCGCAAAGTACATGTGTGGATCAATTTGGCTGTCACGTTCAAAGTAGCTAGATGTATAGTTTAGAAATCAAAACAAACTTTCCAACCATGTCTTTGTATTCAAAGGTCATGAAATTAACAGCCACATTACGACAATTAACTTCCACTGATCTCTAATGAATTGCATGTATGGCTTCTGTTCACTAGCCACAAGGTCAAAAGGCAATAATCTAATATGCATAGAGTTAGGGCCACAAAAGTTGAAACAACCACAGACCATAGTTTCCAGACATCTAAATACCAGGCACGTCAAGATATTGGACATTCAAATTTCCTAAAAAATAAACGGACCCTAAGAGTGAGTTTAGTTCTCCCTCATGGTTCAGATTTTGAAAAGGCCAAATTCCTACATTTTCCTACAATCCAAACTTGATGGGCTTTCTCATCCGCATAACTAAGGCTGGGTTCCAAATTTTCTATTAAGAAACTGCAAGACGTGTTAAAGAAAATAAAAATTAAAGCATATCAAGAAAACTTACCTGTTTACTTTTTGGAGCAAAAATGGCTTTAACAGATTCAAAAACCTCCTTAACAGGCCTAGTAGCGTCAATCTAAGAAGAGTAGAACATGATTCAAGATCTAAAATTAAAAAGATAATTAAAAATAAAGGATGCCAGAAAGTATTGAAGTCTGGAGAGAGAGAATCAACACCTTCCGAACTTTCCCTTTGGATTCATAGTAACGAATCACAGGAATACTAGACTCCAAGAAAACCTTGAATCGCTTCCTAATTGTTTCAATATTGTCGTCCACTCTACCCTGAATTATAATATCCATAAAGACAATTCATAAGCGTGAAATTAAATTTTCGAAGAACAGATTTAAATAAAGAGAAATTTATCCCTTCAAACCTCATTCCTACTCAACAGGCGCCTCTCCATCTCCTCCTCAAGACAATCAAAGAACAGGACAACAGATGGTTCAATGCCTGTCTGCAAAACATCAATCATACAGTTGAATCAAGCACTGCCTTGGATTGTACAACCTCAAAAATCAATTATACAGAATGGATATTGATTTTTAAGAAAACAATGGCCAGAGAAAAGAGAGAAATGGCTTACAACAGCTTCAAATGCAGCACGATTTTCTTCGTTACGAGGGAATCCATCAATAAGAAATTTGTCATTACCACTTTTCTCCATTGCTCGTTGAAGAAGCTTTATGGTGACCTCGGAAGGAACAATCTTCCCTTCTTTAATCATGTTTTGAATCATCGTGCTAAGAAAAGAAAATGGTAGGATCAGCAGGTACTACATATTTTGTAAATGGTCAAGTTGCGACAATGTATAAAGTTAGGAAGGAAAGAAGTAGTGAGATTTAGAAGATATTATATGAAAGGGGAGTATTCATACCCATTCTCTGAACCAGATTTGATCTCTGCTCGGAGAAGATCCCCAGCACTAAGATGAGTGTACCCGAAGTGTTCAATGATATTTGAACATTGAGTACCCTTGCCACTACCTGGCCCACCTGGTAATTATAAAATCCAACTACAGCTTAGTACCAGACGAAATTTAGCATAAAAAGAAAAGTCGGTTCATCTCATAAGGAATCTAGAAAAGAAGAGAGCCTATGAATTTATTTAATCTTTGAAAAGTATACTCACCTAAAACAAAGACAACTGTGGGCTTCTTATTAACTAAGCTTCCTTTAGTGTCCTGTAATTGCATTTTAACCATGTACCAAGACTTCAGGATCAAATAGTTCATTCAAGAAGGAAGCAAAGACAAACATCCCCAACAAAACTAGTGTCCAGGAAAATCCTACGATGGAGATTCTCTGATCTTTCAATTGACATCACTTTCCTCAATATATGAAGTAAAAACGTGGTCAAACCTTACCTTAATTGGAGCAACATCAGCGACAGTCCCCATGACACTGATTTAAAAGTGAACTGACTATCTACACAAAAGTCAGATAAAAATATGTCAAAACCAGGTTTGAGCACTCAAGCAAGGAGTAGAGAATAGGTAACATAAAGAACGTAATGTGATTTTCATGCTATGAAAGTTAACGATAAGTCGAAGAACACTAGGCTGAATGTATAAAATGTTAATCTACTTATTCTCTAAATCCTCGAACACAGGGAAACCGAAATCTTCCAAACATTAATATGAACATCAGCTTTGATCGAATATCTGCAGATCCAAATTGCCTGAACGTGGTCATCCATTTAGGATCCAGAAATAACGGCATGTACAACTTCACAACATTCATAGCGCTAATAGCACTGTCAATGAAGATACAGGCAAAAAGAAAAAGAAAAACATCGGCATCCTTTAGAGAACAAATAAGCCAAAGAAAATGCAAGCCAAGAAAAAAAGACTTCGCAGTTCATTTACAGTACTCTATTCTTTGCCTACCAGAAAAAATGGCGGTAAAATTTTTCAAAGCCAGATCTAAGCGAGTAAACTCCAAACGAACTAGTTTCAGAAAAAAAAACACTCAGGAACTCAAATTTCTCTATTCTCCACACGATTTCAGAAGGCCAAAGGAAAAATACGTCTGGATCCAAGCGGAATCGACAAAACGAAGGAAATCAACAACGTTCAAGCGAAAACAAGACGGCAATGCAGAGATCAAACAAGAAGTAGTGCAATCGACTAAGTTCCGAGATAAAAGAGAGGAGATCAAAGAATCTTACAGTTGAAAACGGAGCGCGCCAAGGAGAGAGAAAGAGATCTGAAGAAGAGGAGGGAAAACGCGGCATTAAACGAAGAGATGGTGAAAGCTTAAATAGGTAGGGGATTGACGGTAGGAATGAACACGTTAAATGGTGTTTACGGCCGGTATAGGGGTACTTATGTAATTTCATATTTATTTTTTATTTTTAAATTTTTGTGTATAATTTTAGAGGTCACGTATTTACAACGGCTACGGTGGTCTTCTTTAATTTTCTCCGTTGGTTCTTCTTTGAGTAAATTCTATGGGGCGTTTGGATCCATATTAAATATAATTCGACTGTTTGAAGATGTGGAAATTAATTATTTTAAATGTTATCTCAAACCCTAAATTACCATTTTTAACTTATTTTAAATTAAATAAAATTTACCAAGTTTATACATTATTTCACCATATTTTGTTATTTTTACGTGAAAATCATTATCGAATCTTTAGTGTGACGATTCTTTGGTCTCGAGCTTACTGATCAAAATTTTCTTTTCTTTTCAGATGAACTCAGTAAAGAGCCCTCTTATGTTCAAGAATAAGCAATGATAAATAATAATTGACAACTCTAAATGAAAATCCCACAGCGTATGGCTTACAAGTCTACGACTTTAAATTACGGGAACGCTGTCCATGTCGTTTCCTCGATAGAGAATAATACCACGAGGGGACGGGGCAGGTAATGATAGTTGTGGGTTCCTGCCTTGAACATCGTGACATGATTACCGGTGCTTCAAGCTTCCAAATTTGCAAGTCTGGTCTCACCATCAGAATGCTGATTTTCGGATGCTATGAGGTTAGAAGTATCGATCAAAGTTGTGTTTCCATGGTTGCCTTTTGTTTTGATTCGAGTCATTTGAGAAACCAGCATTTCATGTACTCTTTCTTTCAACTGCAAAGATGGCATGTAATAAGGAAAATTTGTATCGAAACTAGAATCATAGTTGTAAGACTACTCATGTGAATCAATTCGTGTAGACTGCGGTATTTTAGAACATGATAATAACTATAATAAAAACTCGGGTTAGATAAGAACTGCAAGTAAACAAGAGGAAAGGGCTTGCAACAATTACCTCGATGAGTCCTACGTCGTTCTTGACCGAAACCAGCAAGGCTCCATCAGGTCCGAATCGCCTGTACCGTTCTAGTTCAATATCGTCATGATCATAGCTTTCAGTGCTGAAGATTACAGGAGACTCTTTCAGAAGATCACATTTGGAGACGACATTGAGCCATAGATGGTTGCCATATCTTTCCTTCATTTCTTTGTAGATGGCCAACTGTACAATATAGAATGCAGATTAGGGTGAAAAAGAACATTTTTTAAAAAAAAAAGGACCATTGAAACTTTAGAGCAAATTCGATGTTCTGATCGGTTACTGTCGTCAATTTGGTTGGATTTCTTCTCGGAGATGTAATTCATGTCAAATTCGTGAATAACATTAGCATTTACATATTAGTTTAACCATCAAATTTCACTATCAACTCGAACATGACTCAATTATTTAAGATATATATCTTCGACGAAGAGATCAAATATTTGAATTCTCAGACTCCCACGTGTCGTTCAACCAAAAAAACCCATAAAATTGCAATGATATTGTTCTATTAGAGGTATTATATTGAAATTGAAAATGATAATAGGCCGGCGATACCTGATCGGAAGGTGAAGTGCCACATTCTCCAGAGAGATCATGTACAAATAGCACTGCCGTTGGAAGATGCGACAGAACAGCAAGTGTCAACTTCTCCAAATTGTTTCTGTCATCTGCAGCTCCAGAGGAAAGTTATGTAGCAAATAGACATTTATAATACTGGCAGGTAACTTTCTTTTCTTGAGATGTCGAGGAAAGATCAGCACTATGTCAAAAGTATCAAGAAATACTAGAAATACAGACATAATGTCGATAGTATAAATATGAACACTAACCATTTATATGGATAATTTCAGGTGTTAAATTTAATTTATCAATTCATACAGTTTTCCATGATTTTTCCTAAAAAATCCAACACCGACATGATATTGATATCATTTTTATAAATTTTTAGTGCCCTATTTCGGACGTTATAGACATTTGACTCGTTTAACGGGTCCCTTAACGACATAGAAGAGATGACACGGGACTGGCACTTCAATTCATAGCTTAGACTAGAGAAAACTGAAATTGTAAGCATTAGGTGCAATTACCATCAGATCTTTTCAGAAGGCCAGGAGTATCTGTTACCTGCAATCAGATTGGAGAAGAGAATAAATTGAATTGAGAGGGGAAAAAGAGAGAATTAAATCCACGTATTCAAAGGTAAACTATCACCTGAAAATGCTGGTAGTTTAGGACTATATGACCCATCAGTATTCCTCGTGTAGTGAACGGGTAATTACAGATCTAATGGAAAACAATATTAGCAACAAAAATCCATCAAGATTCAGGACTGTCATTCTCTCCAGCACAGTCTTTGTAGATCAAGTCAGGTTTGGAAATGATTTTGAAATAGTTAAAATCAATTTTTCACGTTCACTGAAAAACATGTTTTTAATCATTCAAGATCAATTTTGGTGATAAGAAAATTGTGTTTAAAACTGTAACGTCAAACAGTAAATTGATTTTGAATGATTAAAGGCATGTTTTAGAATGTTTTTGAAAATGACAAAAGTGAATAACCATAATAGTAAATATGTACACACCTCAGGCTTCCCAGTAGAGAGGATTCGAACCAAAGACGACTTCCCAACATTTGGGGCTCCAACAAGACAAAGGGTTGGTTTATCCAAGTCTACAACTGGCATTGCCCGTAAAGTCTGACAATTTGTACATATCAAACATCATTGTAAATAAATGTAGGTTCCATGTGTTAAATAGCTGACAGATTTAGATGACCTTAAGCAAGAAAAAGTGCTCGTCGGCTCCAAAAAGCATATTAAAAGATCAAATATGTCATTACATGAAAAAGATGTCAAAGTGATATTGATTAGAAGGAAAGATGCTAAGAAACTGCACCTTCAGGCATTTAAATCAGAGTTTCAATGCAATGATAATTACAAGGGGGAACGGTACGGAATTGCCCCATAAATACGATATTCAATTAATCATAGCAGAATTTAAAAAATAAAAATAAATAATACCTTTGCAATCTGTAACAGATCATCAACAGCTTTTGCTTGATGAATATAGACTTCTTCTACTTTCTTCATACCCTGCATTTGAAATAACATCATGGGTAATGATTTCACATATTTGAAAAGAATGCCACCTCATTAAGGAGAGAACTAACCACGCTAAGGCTTTCCTCTGCATCCCGCTTTGATGTGGACTGTAAAATGAACATTGAAGTACAGTCCCGATTAAAATTACGTTAATTAAATAAAACTTTCTTTTCGTTGTTGTGAGTGTGTGTGGTGGTAGTCGCTAGAAAACTAATCGAGGTAAGTCAAAAGACATATTTTTTAAGCTACATTTTGTTTCACCAACTCGAGTAAACAAAAGAAAAAAAAAAAAAAAGTTTTACCACATTCTTTTAAGTCACATAGCCAAAATGAAAGTAGACCTTAAAGTTCCCAAGAGTATGAGTGCTTCTTTTACACATTTGTTAAGAAGTGATGAAATTTATATCTAATCTATACAATTTAACAGAGGAAAACAGAGAAGGAACCAATAACTATCAATTGATAAGACTACAAAATTAAAAAAATCCTAACCTTCGCACAGAGAGAAGCATGCTCCTTCCCTACAGATACCACTTTCTTCCTTAGATTATCAACCTTTCTCAAGACCTGTTAAATGAAGAAACATTGTTGACTGATGATCCTTCACAGGAATGTTTGCCATGGAAGTATTATGCCATAGAATCGCATGTAAATTTCAAAAGATTAGGATTAATGTTTAAGAAAATAAAGTATTATCAACAAAGTAAAAGTGTAAGAACTCATTAACATGGCACAAAATAACAAATATTTTCACATAAGCAATCAATAAAAACATATTAAAATGTAATTTCCACAATAGATTTCCTGTCTTCCAAAATTTAAATCTATTGCGACAAGAATTTCATATGCAAATTCTAAAGAGGCCTTATAACGAGTGAAGTCCTATGATTTTAATCATTAGAAGATTATAAGTTCAGAAAAGAAATCGTTATTGAAGGATATGAACCATATTAACACATTTATGCCGCAAAAAGTGGATAGAAAGTAATGCTTCATAATATACCTCTTCATACTTTCCATCTCCAAGTGTCAACTCAATGAGAGAACATTCATAAGGGTGAAGATATTCTTTCTTTGGAAACTCTTCTAGGTACGTTCTTAAGGGAACTGCCAACTCCTAACAAAGGAAACAAGATGTCCCGATAAGCTTTACAATATTTCATTTACAATTACAATGCACCAGAGTAATTCTTTTATATTGTATATAAAAGCTGACTGATATTTGGGATAAGAACAAACTTTCATCAGTGTATCGAGCTGCTTAGCACCCCTATTTCTCTCCCTCTTTGCAATATTGGCTATTCCTGAAGATGGATACAAGAAAATCAACATAAGCAGAAGGTGATTTGAGTCCGCTTACATTCAAATCAGATCACAAGACCAGCCAAGCAAACACTGAAACAGAACAGCATGCTACTAAAAGTACCCTTTGTAGGGCTAACCCTCTTGGCCTTCTTTAGTGCAGACTGGAAAATATCAATAGATGGCATCACCATGGGCAGCTTCTGAAATGCACCCACGCTCTCAAGATTCTTTGATGGTTTATCTTTTTCCTGGAACCAGGACATGAGACAGTAGCCACATTCTGTCAATTACAGTCGAGTAAAATACCACGGCACAAGAGTTAAACATGAAGGAACGTGAAAAATGTGTAAGCAGTAAAAACTATCTAAAAGTGATAGAGAGAGATAGTATGGCATGCGAATAGCACAAAGCATGTGAAACAAATGAGAAGTTGAGCATTCTAATGAACAAAATCAGTTCCAGCTTAAGGTCAAACCTTCAAAATAATGTAAAAAATCTTGTTTTCTAAAATAAAGTGAAACTCGATTGAACTCCAAGTTTTTCCATTTCCGTTCATAACAGGTAACATATTTCATTTGCATCAAATTAAGATGTAAGACGGCACAACCTCCGAACTAAAGTAAAAGAAAACAGAACCAAATACCTTCACTTCATTTTCATCTTTTGTTTCAGTTTTCGGTATATAACTTCCATTGACAACGTTATATGTTTCAGTTTGAATCGACCTGTGGAAGCATTGAGTTGGATAAATCCTAGAACTCTTAATCACATGCATACCTGCTTAAGAAGAACACAAATAGCAACTATCAGAAATCAGCAACAAAAAAGAAGTGCGAAGAGATTCTAAAGAAAGCAACTACCGTTAAAATGAGTAGGAGAAGATAATGAAATGAAATCAATACAGCGAATACATCAGAAGAATGGAAAAAAAAAGTACTAAACTCTCTAGCATTCGAATTTTCAAAAGAAGACAATGATATTTTCTATCTTGCTACTTGTTTCTAATCAACGAACCGAAAAATTGACTTCAAAATGAAGTAAGAAAACAGATTTCGAACAAAAGCCAAAGTATCATTCAAGAAACTAAGAAATGGCGCGATTGAGCAAAGCCGCGTCTATCAGCTTCAATTTCAACCATACAAAAGCAGTGAAAGAGATACAAAAGTTAATCATCCTCCTGAGCAAACTAATCAAGTACGGGAGAGCAAGAAAAAGGACCAGAACCATAGGAAACATTGAAGCTTCGGATGATGAGGCGTTTAGTCGGAGGGCTCTGCCAGAGCTGGAAGACGGTGCTGCAAGTGCCATTCATTCCGTCGAAGCTTCTCCGGTCAGGTCCGTAGCTCCATGAGAGGGGATTCAGAGCTTACTAAGGCTATATCCTATTCCCGGTTATGAAAGTGCGAAGTTCGAACTCGTTACTTACGAAAAACTACTGTACCCGATATTCTTTTTTCTATTTTATAAAAATTAGGTTAAAAATATTTCGACTTTTAATTAAAGAAAAATAAATAAATAAATAAATGTATATATATATATATTAAAAAAATCACCGCTACAAATTTTTGATTATGTATAGAATGGGTAATATGATCATTTTTAAAAACATAAATAGCTAAAAAAAAAAAGGGGTTAAATTGAACACATTATAATTTGAGAAATAAAAAAAAAATTAAAAACTTGGATTAATTCAAAATATATTTTTGAAGAAACGCTTCAAAATATATCTCATTTTAAAAGATGAGTGGAATATCTTCCTAATAAAAAATATATATATTTATAACTGATATAATCACTTTTAAATATAAATTTAGTATAATACAAATTTATTTAAATACTATTATAAGACATAAATGTTCTTATTGAAAATATATTGTTTAATAATTTAAATAATATATATATATATATATATATATATATATATATATATAGTTAAAAATATTTTTTTTTTCAATATTGTATACTAAGATGCAAAATATGTTTTAAAATATGATATTAGAGCCAATGTTTTCAGGTTAATTTTGATATAATTATTGAATATTGATTTTGTGAACGATTCAATATAATTTTATGATAATCATATTAACAAATAAATTTTTTAAAGTTTACATTTAATTTTTAATTAAATTTATTTGATAAACTAGTGAAATCTCAACCAAACATTAAATGATTATTTAAATTGAAGTATAATTAACTTGTCTAGTTTGATTCCTTAAATATTAAAAAAATATATATAAATTGAGGAAAATGTTGTATGTCACAAAATGTAAAATATATATATATATATATAATTTGATAAACAAGACATCAATAATTATTTAAAAAGTCGATGGTTTACTTAGAACCACCAAAAGAAATATTTGTCATACATATATAAAATATTAATTATACCAACTACAAAAAANAAAAAAAAAAAAAAAAAAAAAAAAAAAAAAAAAAAAAAAAAAAAAAAAAAAAAAATGCTGAAATGTGAATATAAACAAATTTGATCTTTTATGACTGCCTTACAATAGAATTTAGACGTTCCAATTTCAAATGGCAAACTTAAACGTGTTACAATGTAGATAGTTATATAAAATAAAACTACTATTTGGTTCTTATAAAGGTAGATTAATCTTGATTGTAAACAAGTGTCGGATATTCTGGACTCCACATGTTATTTTTCACGAACTCCAAAATTTGTTCCTGAAAATTAAAATCACGAAAATAAGATTACTCCAGGACAGATATTCTTAATTGATAATGTGCATTATATTATAAAAATCATACAATCAAGCAAGTCATCAGACACCATCTTTATTGGATATGACAACCATTATTGATCCATGGTTCAATCATCCACTCCATAATTATTGAACTAAAAAAGAAAATCCATTACACCTCATTTTGTTCTTTAATAATCTTTCTAATCTATTTTTGAGAGAGCCTATGTCATAATCAGTTGAGGATCAAAACCTCTAATCTAATGGTCGGATATGTCATAATCGGTTGAACTAAGTTTAGGTTTAGTTTTTTAACCACCACTTTAACTTCATGGAAGAATAAAAAAGTTAAAAAAAAAAAAACGTTATTAGTATTTTGAGAGATCAAAAGTATAATCATGCATGGAGCATATACGATTACTGTTCTTTTGCGATAAATAGGATTGAGAAAGTTTAAGAATATAATCTACCTTGCTAAATTTTCGGAGTTCTCGAGAATCGACACCTCGGTATCCTTCAACAAGATCCTCTTCTATGGCTTCCATAATAACAGCTGCTGCAATTTCCTTGGTAATATCACGAATGCTACAAACAAAAACAAACTCATGAAACTTCTCACTTTCTCATCTTAATCAAAGAGAAGTATTTGAACATCAAATTAGGATGATGACTTACCTAGAAATTGATGGATAAATAATGCCTTCGTGGACTTCATCTTCAGTCATATATGCAGCAAGGCTGTTGTCGCAAATGGAATGACAAAGAATCATTATTGTAAGAAGCTGTTCTGTTAATAATTTAATGAGAAAGTTCAGATTATATCTTGTAGTTGCCAATTGTCATACATTGTAAGATTGCATTATTTTGTTTGCTCTAAAATTTGCATAAACAAAATGTGATCTACAAAAACTTGAAAGAACAGAAGCCTTACCACTCAGCAGCAGCCTGCAGCATGCCATCAGATACAATAGGTGCGCCAGATAGAAGCGTACCGAGCCCAATACTACACAAACATGCATCCACACATATCATAAACCAAACCTAGAGTATCATAAAATATTCTCTCTATCGCCATTATAATGTGCAATTTGGCAAACTAACCCTGGGAAAAGATACATGTTGTTTCCTTGGTTGCAGTGGCCAATATGACCATTCCCTGGAGAATATTATAATTATATTAGAGCACTTTCTAAAAAAACATAGCCAGAAGAACATGTTGAGAATTATTGGGAGGGAGTCCCACGTTAGCTAATTAAGAAGAAGATCATGAGTTTATATGTAAGAAATACTATTTCCATTGGTACAGAGCCTTTTGGATAAACCAAAATCAAAGTCATGGAAAGCTTATGCTCAAAGTGGACAATATCTTACCATTGTGGAGGTGTGTAGCTTCTAAAAGAACATTTAACGTATTTGAATTCATAAAAATAGATTAAATGTTGTCTCTAGCATGGAACTATAGTTACTATTAAAATTGTTATTGTTAGCATTATGAAGATAATATAACTTACTAAAGTCTCTATCCTTGATTTGTTTTCGCTTATTAAGAAACAAATTTCACCCAGAAGTAACATTTTTGCAAAATAATTTCTCAAATTATGGATGCATAATGAAAAAAGATAGGGATTTATAAAACGGATGTTGTTTGAAACAGGATGTTCAAGCTAAGTAGACGTTTAAAAATTTCCCAATTCGCTAGTTTCAAGAACATAACTTCATGCTGAATGCATCCAAAAATTTCCTGTGTTCAAACTTCTACTCATTCTTCCAACAACTTTTACAAAACAGATCCGAGAATGATATTCTTGAGCTTAATTTTTTTAGAAACATACCTTTTGTTTTAGAAGCTTAAAACAGAAGAGAAAAGTATTAAAGCATATGAGAATTATTTTACATACCAAAATCAACATCCTTGAATGGGCTTCCACTCGCAAATATGACGTTTTCACCCAAGATTGAGAATGCTTGTTCAGGAGTGCACTCGGCTACATGAAAAAAAATATACAAATTCTAAGAATTAGCAAGCCGATGAAGGGCGAGATTTGGAACCTATGCATAGGTTGAGAAATCCATAGATTATTCAACTGTACCATTTGTTGTAGGATTAGACATGGCAAAAATAGCCGGTCTTGTAGCTGTTGATCCTTTAAGAGCCTCTAATACCTAAATACAAGTTGTATAAGAAGAGTAAATTTTACAAAGTTTCACATTTGGGTGATTGGTAACATTTATTTCTTAAATCCTAAACTATGCACAAGATAACCAATTCAGTTACATTTTATTTCATTTAGATTTGTCATATTCTACATCATCTTTTTTACTTATTTTGTTCACTATCTTATGTTTCTATTTTCAGCCGCATCTTTTTAAGTCCCATGGAGGCTCCACAGAATATGACCCATGTTTGCATAAATTAAAAGGTAAAAGATATGGAAATGGAAATCTTCCATTTCTCTTTTCCCCTCTGTCTCCATCCATTGCAGGTAGTACTTATAGTGTTTGAATCGCTAGAATTCTAATACACAATTTTCAGGCACAAATATCTGAAAAAACAGTCAGTTCGTTTTCACTTGAAAAGAAAATACTAAGGAGACAAGTGCTTAATACCTCCTTTGTGAACAATCCACCAACGGCAGACAATCCCAGAAGCACATCAGGCTTCACTTGTTGCACCTAATATGTCCGACAAAGGGACAATAGAGAATTAAGATACTGATAATTAAATAAAAATAGAAAAATCACACTGAAATAAACTAACACGAGAATGATATATAATTTCAATGCACTAATGTTCAACGTGTTAAAAATGCATGTATACTTTCATTTATGATGACTCATACTAACAATGAAATTATGATGCCTGTAAAGATTGGTTTTTTCCGACCACAATTATTTAAGCTCTCCACTCAAATTCCACCTTTTTTAACAACTTTCAGTTTCTAAATGTCAACGTCAAAACAAAGATAGTAGTGGAGATAAATAGTAAGACATAATTATTCTATGCAGAAGTAGCAATGTGCCTATACGTAAGGAGAGTACAAACCACTTCCACTAGACTTGCACCTTCCCTCAATCCTTGACGATTAATTTCTTTGACCTTCCTAGCAAAAGGACTTGCATCTTGATCAATATTTTCTCGTTCCTCTGTGATCAAACCCTGACAACGACCAAAAAAAAAAAAAAAACAAAAACAATTAACAAAGATATGAAAATTTTGATCCCACATCACCCAGGTGTTATTGACATACCATGTACCCTTCTTCCCGTCCAAGGATAGGAACATGATAAAACAACATCCTATAGTATAATCTAGACAATGAAGGTTATTGCAAATGTAACCAAGAAATATTCAGGCACAGGAGAATGTTGGCTCAACTCCATAACTCAAGTAAGCTCATAACTCGGAAATATGTTGACAAACAAAATAATATAAATAAACTTTTAAAATATAAACACAAGGAAGTGGGAGGAAAATCCCTAGGGCACATAAAGAAATTACTTGAAACATGAAAGGAGATTTTCTGTCCGCTGCTAGATACTTGAGAGTTAAGATTCAACTCCATGTTTTACGTGATGAAATTCTGTCTCTTATAGGAAAAGGCTACATCGTTTTTTACATGTATAATAAATCTATGTCTTCAATTCTACAAGTATTCTGAGAGTGAAATGACCAATTTGCCCATTTGGGCGAGTTAACATAAAACAAAGGCACGTGAACAAA